AGGATAAGCACATTGATATTGAATCCATCAGAAAAAATATTAAAGAATTATTTATTGAACCAAAAAATCAATATGAGAGTCCAATGAAAGAAGTGTATGAAGTTAATAATGACCATTAAACTACTAAGATCATCATATGTATTTATTAGACTTTTAAATGTTAGATAATTAGTATGTGTTGTTTATTTAATTAAATAATTAATATATGTTATTTATTTAATTAGATCATTAGTATCTATTATTTATTTAATTAAATAATTAGTATCGATTGTTTTTTTAATTAAGCCTTAGTAGATTAAGAACTATTAGATGTATTTTTACTTTTTTTAAAGATTATTTATAAATATTTAGTATTTTAAAATTTTAAAATAGTTATTTTTATCCTTCAATAAGTAAAATTTAATTATTAAATGAAAATTTTCAGCATTGCTTTACTAATTCTTTTACCGATAACTATATAGCCTTTGTTTAACACTAAAACTAAATCAATTCTAAGGCTTATTTTATATTTTCATGCTTGATTTCCCTCATAGACATGGATTTATTTTCACCTATGGTTTTTTTTTTAAAATAAAATAAAGTAAAGGAGTTTTTAAACCAGTGCCTTTAAAAGAAATTTTTTTGTCATAGATAAATATAAAACATAAAAATTTACTAGAAATCCACAAGATATAACTTGATTTAGTCCAAAAGAATTTTACACAAACTAAAAAAAATTACAAAATACTTACAGTGGATAAACATATATGACTATAAATCTTGACAAAATACAGTTTAAATGAAAAAAAAAAGATTAAATATTCTAAATTAAATGTAATTGATGCTCAAATAAATCCATTCAAAGTTGGCATGGTGAGCTTTTTTGCTTTATTTTTGTCTTCAAAAATTTGAACTTTTCTTTAAAAAAACTGTAGACCTTTACTTTTTAAATATAAAATTTGAAATCCAAATTTAAGTTCTTTTAAATTGTCAAGTAATTTTAACAATATATATATGTATGTATTGAAAATGGCATTAGATATACATATTGGAAATATATCTTCAACCTCCTCAACATTTTCATCATTAAAACCAATCCCACTCACACTTTATTTGCATATTAAGATTAAGAAACATTAATTGTGTAAAACTAAAGAAAACAATTAAATCTTTCAAATAAATGTAAATAAAATCTAAACAATAATTTAAATTAATAACATCATATTTTAATATAAAAAAATACCATTGTCAATCTCTCTCATAACAAGATGACCTCCTTTTGATTTAACAGCACGGTCTTAAAAATATAAATCCAAGTAGATAATAAAAAGAAAAGAAAAGAAAAGAAATTAAAAATTACAATAATTAAGATCAAACTGAAGAAATCAAAACTATGATAATCAAAGTGTTAATTAATGAAAGATGAGAGACTAGAACAGTTTTCCGATGAAGCACCAAAACTGCTTTTTGATCCAAAATCTTCAACACGAACTCTGCGTCCACGATGTAGTGATGGTGTCAGTACTTTCTTTGGAGTGTCGACACTCTGTGCGATTTTCAAGTAAAATTTATAAGAATTTTAATTTTTTGATATTATTTATATTTCATAAGTTTTAATTTCTTTTTAAATCTTATATATTTTTTATTTTTTAATTTTAAAAAACCTTTAAATAATAAATTTTAAAAAATTTCAAATTTATATTTTTTATAAATTTTTTTTATTCATTTTTTACTTTACTCATTTTTTTATTTTTAAAAAAACTTTAAATTTATCACTCATAAACAATAATATAAAAAAAAAAGGTAAAAGCTTTTATTATTTTGGTGTAGGCTCTAGGTCCATTTCCATCCAGTATCCTAGCTAAAATCTTATAAATACTCTTCCCAATAAAAATTAATTAGAGCTTTATGGAGGCTTTCGTCGCCATTTTAGAGTACTCTGTAAAACCAGGTTAGAAGCGATAAACAATATAATTAATGGGTAAATATATTTTAAAATATTATCAAAAATATTAATGGTAAAAAAAATATTAAAAATTAAAAAATATTTAATTTAGTCAAGATTTTTTCAAATTCATTTTATTCTATAAATAAATTTGGAATACCAATTCTTTTGCATTTTTCATTACCTATTATTTATTCTTATTTATTTTTCAAAAAAAAATGTAACTAACTCCAAAAAAAAGAAAAGAAAAAGAAAAGAACAGACTCTTTAAATTCTTCTAAACTTGGGTATTACTGCCTCCATAAGTTATATTTAAACAAAGAACTTAGAATTAGAAATCATAACAAATCCAAAAGAAATGGAAAGGTCAGGTTGTGTTGATTTTTTGTGATTTTAATTTTAATTTTTTATTTTTTAATATTTTTATTTTTTGTATAACCATCAGATACAAAAAAAAAAAAAAATCTCATTACTATAAACAGCTATAATAGTCGTTAACTATTACATTATTTATTTAATCACACAACTAAAAATTTTACAACACATAATAAAATTTTAGAATACTCAAGCACGTCTTACGACATAAAATACTTAAGGTTGGAATTTGAGTCGATGGAGAAAAATTTTTAAATAAAATAGAAAGTTATCTTTTTTTTTATATAACTTATTGAGATATAAAAAAAAAAACTAACTAAAAAAACAGCAACTACAGATATCAAAATTCCATTCAAAGTATTTTACACTAGTTATTAATTCAATAAAATTTTTAATAAATTAAAATTTTGTTAATGTATTCCTTTTTTATGAAATTTTCAATGTATTTTTCAATGTAAAAATAAATAATAAATTCTCAATAAAAAATTTAACAAAATGAGTGAAAACCCGCGCGTAGTGCGATTCCATCACTTGTGTACTATATGCCGTAGGACATTCTTGGTTAGAGTTAATTTTATTTAAAAAGTGATTAGTATAAAAAGTTAATAAATGTTATATAAAAAATTAATAAATTTTGTAACAAAATTTTATTAGTGTTTTATTAGATTATTAATTTTTTGTGTTTATTAAAAATTTAATTTTAAAAAATTGATAAAAAAAATATCAAATTCATCTTACATAAAAAAATTAACTTTCAAAGTGTTGAAAAAAATTTTACATATTAAAAGTTATTTAAAAAATATAAAATAAAAATATTACTTTTATTTTATTTTATTAAAGTAACTCTTTTTTTCTTCCCTATAATATGTGAAATTATATAAATAGCCGGAAAAAAATGTAGTTTTCCCAACTAAACTATCCCTAAACTTTCCGTCCGTACCGTATGCTTTTTTTCTCTGGCTGACTGTTTTTCGTAATCGGTCTTCGGTAGTACAAAATTAGGGCAGCTCTCCGCCTGGTTTTTCCATTTTCAATTCCAATTCCAAGTTCCTGACTTACTGACTCGATCCCCTGTGATCCGATCACATCTCAGACGATGAAGCATGGTCTCGAGGTCTTCGATTTCAGCGAAGGGGACGAGCCGCCGGAACACGCCGCCGGTGAACACATTAAATTAAAAAATCCTGACGTCGGCGATTCCGGCATTCTGAAACACGAATTTCTTGGTATGTTTTTTTGCATTTTATCAAGAAACGACTATCTCCTTTTTTGTTCTCTTTTCTTGGTATGTTCTCTTTTGCATTTGTTTGGGGTGTGATTCTGTATTGCTCTTACTCTAAGCTAAGCTAAGGTGAAAATTGAGCAAAAATAGTTGAATCCTAGCGATAAGAGCAGAACATCTGTACAAATTTGACTTTTGCGAATTTGTTGATAGCAGTTGAATTCAGTTCTCGATTGTGCTTATGAAGCAGAGTTTTCTGATTTAGGAGACATAGTTTGAGCTTTTATTATCAATAGGTTTTTCTGTTTGTACATGAAACTAAGGTTCCCTAGTTTTAGGGGACTTTATACTCACGTTCTCTAGATATCTATTGACTGTGATGTCTGAGGTTTGTAATCTTTTTCAATTGTTTTCATTTTAATTTACTTTCAGCTGCGCAAAGTTCCGCTGTGCGGAGAACAGAAATTAATGATGTGCCTCGTGTGGACATTGATGCAAGTGATTGTGGTGATCATAATGGTGATGAAGCTGCTCCATCTGTGCAACCAAATGCAGGGGAAGAAGGTGGCTCTAAGGAAAGAGAACCTGGGTTGCCTCTTTTTTTGCAGTCAAAGTCTACAAGTTATGAGCTACAAGCTGATTTAGATAAAGATAACAATAAATCTGGAAGTTCCTTCCCTAAATTGGATTCAAGAGATTCATGTGCAGAAGCACCTTCACCTTGGAGAAATCAACCGAACTCTGCCCTCTTAGACTCAGGATCCAGTGTACTTTCTGTAACTTTCCTAAGCTACAATCTAGATCCAGATATTGGTATTCTGAATTCTGTTTATGTTGCTTTTACTTGTGTAGTATGAATCAGTTGATGTAGACTCAGAAGGTAATGAAAGCATGGGTGAAAGTATACCATCAAGTCCTGCTTCAAATGTAGCAGAGGATCATGGTATTTTATGAAATTAGAAAGTCTCAATACTTCTTTTTTTCTTTGTGATGTATTCCTTTTTTACCTTTTTCTTTTGTTATGGATGTTTTTTGTTCTAACTATGTTTTGTTGCCTAATTTCAGTTTTATTGAATGGCAACATGTCTGAAGGTTGCATTGGAAATGTGGTTCTGGTAATTTGCCTTTAGTTTTGCTATATTTATACGTTGTCAGTAGGTTAGAGATACTGCTGATTGCTTTTCTTTTATTTTCTGAAGGCTTTTGGGGTACTCATTCAATATCCATTCGTATAATGTATGCAGGATAATATAAACCAGACAGTTGATATCATTCCTGATTATGTTTTCTATCGTGATAACTATTACACGGGATCACTGGTGCTTTTTTCCCCTAGTGGAATCAAAATTGAGGGCCCACTTGCATTTGATAATGGGGAGACATTTAGTTTTGAAAGGGAGATTGATGATATTGTTGAGATTGCATGCCAGTGGTCTCAAAGGGTGAGTCATGTCCTGATTGGGAGTTCTTTGTTTTTTCATATTTGCTTACAATTTTAAGTTTCTTATGTGGCCTGTATTTCAGATGGGATACATAGTCATTAAGCTACAAGTCTTATCAAAGGATGATGTAGAAGGGGAAAATTTGAGTGGCGCTTCAGGTTTAATGACCTTATAAAATTGCCTATCTTTGTTTTATCCCATTAGCTAGTTCTCTATATTGTTCTTTCATGAATATTCACATTTTATTCTAATTACCGTTTAGACCCCAGTTTATTGCACTTTGAGTTGTCTTCCATCACTTGTTTCATCATAAAAAAATAAAAATAAAAAAAAAGACACCTCTCAAGAATCTAATAGCCTAGAGGTTTTGCCCAAATACCCAAGACAAGTTGAATTCTGTGTGCTTATTTTCAAATATACATTTTCCAACTTACAAGGTCTCCGGGAGTTGAGTTCTTTTGTTAAAGGTAAAGGATGGTAGTGCTCTCAAACCTCTTTAACTGAAACATGCTTAGTTTTCAATTGAGGGTATTTTAATGTACTCATCTTGAAATAATGGTTGACTAATGGTCAAGTAAAAAACTCAACAAACATAGCCAGAATAGTGCAGTGTTTTTGGAGGGAGTTTTATAATTTACCCATCCTCAATTAATTATCAATGGTAAGATTTTAACAAATTTGGCAAGTTTAGTTGTACTGTAAAGTTAATGAAACCAAATATTTTTACTTTTTTCCAAATATGATATTTAAATCATAGGGAATGTCAGATGGATTTGGGGGGGAGGGGGTTGCATTGTGAAAGGAAACTTGGAAAATCTAGTTATGTTTACAAAACCTTGATTCAAGATCCATCCTCATAGGTGGTAACATTTCAAATCGCATAGTGGCACAAGATTTGTATATTCCATGTCTTGTAAATTTTTTTCTATTTTATATCTGATTATGTTACCATGAAGCTTGTGAAAAACTTAATGGAATCTACTTCCTTTTCTCCTTTCTTATGATCTCTGTATTAGCCTGATTTATGCTTCAGCTTTGTTAGAAGTCCAAAGTCTTATACTGAATTGTTGCTTTTTCGCACTTATTTTCATATCGAAATCTTTTCAGGCATTGAAGAAGTAAAATTCTCATCTCTTGAGCCCAACTGGCCTGAGAAACAGCAAGCAATCACCTCATTAAATGTAAAATTTATGGCTATATGGGATTTTGTGCTTGAGTAAGCTTCTAACATTGCCTTGGTTATCAAATAAGTGTTCATTTGTGGGACTGTCGGTAAACAGCAATAAGTATTCATTTGTGGGACTATTGGTAAACAGCACTTAGTTGTATTCCTGCCATGTTAAGTTCATAGCATTCTGGTATTTATGCTATTATTTACTTGCAATCATGAAGCCTTCTTGTCCTCTCGTGATGTGTATACTTATTTGTTGGATTTGTAACTCTACTGCCCAATCTGAATTCACTTTGTCAAAATTTGAAGGTCAACAATGCAACAACCTGCTATACTTTGTTACCCCATGCTTGTGTACCTAAAACTTACATTTAGGTTGGGATTCTTGGGAAGTGGATATTATGATCTCTGCCATCTATAGGTTGGATATTTGGTACGCTATCAAGATGTGTCTGCACGTTACTTCTGTCAGGAGACATTTGTAGACTACATCATTAGAAGGTGGGCATATCACCCTAAACTTTATCTTTTTATTTAGAGGCAAAGAGGCACTGCTTAATTATAAGGGCCAATCTTGTGGAAATCCCAATGTGACCTCGTGCTTAAGACTTGATGACACGACACTATAGACATACTTTGAATTGCTTTTGTCTACGGTTTTATCTTGTGCTATTACTAGACATTTTAGTATCCTAAGTACCCCTTTTTGATGGACAAGCTCTCTTGATGGTTCTCAATAAAGGTTAAAATATGGGGGTGAAAGTGTTGGTAAAATGGGAATGTGTCTAGACAATGGAACTTTATGTGAAGAAAAGGAATGGTAGAATTGGAGTTTCTAAATTGAGTGGAGCTCAGTAAGTCCAATACCTCACTACTTAAGATTTCGTTATTTCTATGATGGTTATCTTTATGATGTTTTATTTAAAATTCTTTCCTTTTCCAACTGTATAATGCATGTTTTAGTGATAGAATCATGATTAGGATTTTATACAATTACTCCCCACAACTCTAATATTTGAATCTTGGAAATAACTTTCACTTGCTTGCAGTCGGGTGGCAGGAGTGAATGAACATGATGTACATAGACCTTATTTTCCTAAGTAAGTTTCAGTTCTGATGTTCTTTTCCGGATACTTCCACTTATATCTTTATTCATATTTGTTTTATGTGCCTTTGGATGTACTTTACCACTCATGTTCCATGGTTCTACCCATGTTTTAGATGTTGTGCTTCCTGTGGTTTACACATAATTCAATTAGTGTACCAATCCATGTCACTGATGTCAGAAAAATGTTGAATTTGGTTTTAGTTCCTGCTGGTTTTCTTGGGATTGTTTTCTCATGTCATGTACTTGAATGTTTGCCTTTTTGTTGATGGTTGAGTAGAGGAGGAGGATATCATTAAAGATGCCCTTGATTCTTCTGACTTTTGGTTGTGGCCTTGTTTATTAAAAGCAATATGTATTTATGTATTTTGTACCTAATGTTGAACTGGTCTGTTTGTTCTAATGAAATAGGCAATGAAGGGCATTGGATACGTTCTTTTCCTTTCTCAACAAAAACTCCTGTATTCTGATTAAGCCTGGTTTTACAGCTTTGATGAACCTTTTGAGGAGGTTATCTATCCAAACGGGGATTCTGATGCAGTTTCTATCGGCAAGAGAGATGTTGATCTGTTACAGCCCGAGACCTTCATCAATGACACAATTATTGACTTTTACATAAAGTCTGTGTGAATCTCATAGTCTTTGTATTATGATCTGTCCCTTTAAATTTGGTGGAGCAAATGTCCAAATTTGGAACAGTAAAATCAAGATTTTAGTGTAGAAATAGTATACCTAATTACCTGAGCTTTCTCTATACTTGGTTTGCAGGTATTTGAAGAATCAGATCCCACCTCAGGATAGGCAGAGGTTCCACTTTTTTAACAGTTTTTTCTTTCGAAAGCTTGCTGATCTTGACAAAGATCCCTCCAGTATTTCTGATGGGAGGGCAGCTTTCTTACGAGTTCATAAATGGACCAGGAAGGTGGATATATTTGGAAAAGATTACATCTTCATCCCTGTAAACTTCAAGTAAGATTCTTGTTGAGGGAAATTCTTCTTTTTTTAAGATTGTTTTTAGTATGAATTGGGAGCTAACACAGACTGCATGTGCATTTGATAACAGTCTTCACTGGAGTTTGATAGTCATATGTCATCCTGGTGAAGTGGCTCATATCCAAGGTAAGTGCTAGTCAGGCTTCATGATGTCAACTATAAGGAAATCATTCCACAATTAATCTATATTTTTATATTTCAGATGAAGATATAGAGAAGTCACCAAAAGTACCTTGCATCTTGCACATGGACTCCATCAGAGGTAGCCATGCAGGTCTGAAAAATCTTGTTCAAAGGTATGCAGTACCCCCCCCCCCACAACAAGTCTCCCTTGTTTTTTGGCTAGAATAAATTTTCAGCTTGTATGTCTTCTATGTAATTGATTTGTTTCTTTTGGGCCTTGAAATGACAGTTACTTGTGGGAAGAATGGAAAGGTAGGCACAAGGAGACATGTGAAGAGCTTTCTTCAAGATTCTTGAATTTGCGATTTGTCTCACTTGAGGTATGGTAACTGTCCTAGTTGAAAGTAACTATTCTAAGGGTAAATTTAAAAAAAAAAAAAAATTGCTTGGAATGCTCCTTGAGGCAAACTGGAGGATATAGAGAGTATGTAGAGACTAACTTGATATCTGATTTGATGTTTGTTCTGATTGTTATAGTTTTTTGTCTGTTTTGTGGTAGGCTTATATTATAAAACCACTAGTGGCCATGAAAATCAGCATAATATTAATTTGTTGATTACAGTCTCATGAGTATTGTATTTGAGATGCTTAAGTGTTTGACTTAAGGTGGCAACATGTTTTAGGAGGGTCCATGGAGGCAATACCAATAGTTAAACTTCCTCAAGCATAATTTTCTTATCTTGCCTATTCAATTGGTTCATTTGTAGAAGTTATCTGGTCCATGGGAGTCCTTTGAACATTGTGCTTCCTTGTATGATACTGAAATTTTCAGAATACAAGTTCGATTTTTTTGAGCTTTACATCTCTCATCTTTTTTGGTAATTAACTACCTGTCATTTGGCATGTCTGTATACTGTGCTTTTCTGAGATTGTTTTCATGTTATGTCAGCTGCCACAGCAGGAGAATTCATTTGATTGCGGCCTATTCTTGCTTCATTATCTGGAGCTCTTTTTAGCGAAAGCTCCTATTAATTTTAGTCCTTTCAAAATAGCCAAATTCTCTGACTTTGTAAGTGCTTTTCTCAGTTTATTATTGTTATCATCATCATCATCATCATCATCATCATCATCACCACCATCATTATTATTATTATTCTACCCTTCATCATTAACTATTCATCTGTTTCACCAAGTCATTGACTACTCAGTGAAATGTGCATGCAAAACCTAACATGTTTGTTTTAGATCCTGACACTTCAAATTGTACTGTGATATGTGATTCTGTTAGTAACGTGGATGTACAAGATTACTAGGAGGTTTCTTTCTTTTATTGTTAATTAAACTTAGAGGGTTCTTATAAAGAAGCAAGAATTTGTTAAGGGTGCAATAAATGCACCTTTTTGTAATTGATTTACATATATAAAAAAAAAGAAAAAAAAAAAAAGAAGCAAAACAAAAGTTGACCTTCATATCACTACCACATGAGTGAACTTTCAGATATCATAACCATCTATTTAAGAAAAAAAAGTACAAACAGCAGTCAAATTTTGTTGGTGTTAATAAAACAATTGGTGGCCATAGCCACCCCTACCACGCTGATAATTTTAATTGGCCAATCAATTAAATCAAAGTCAACATTTATATCTGTCGTACAAATTAATTACAAAAAGGTGCAATAAATGCACCCTAAGCTTATGCCCTTAGGGCACAAGTTAGAAAAATCGAAATTTCATATGGATAATATGAAGCTGAAGCAATGCATATTTCTTGATCCAATAATTTCGTAGATTTTGCTTTGATGGAATCTTAAGCTCAATAGAACTCTAGCAATTGAATCAAGGAATTGATCTATTCGGCGTTTTTCTTTTTCTTAATGAATTCTGTTACTCATTTTCTCTGAAGTAGAAACTTATTTTCAAGTATAGTGACATTGATAGTAATTTAAGAGCTCTCTAGGAGCAGTGGCTTGCTGTTATTAAAAGGAGAAAGACTTATGTTGCAACTTGAACACTTTCTACTTCAAAAAAATTCTGACTCCTGGTATTGCATAATGGAGAATCAGCTGTCTTATTTTATTTCTTCTGTTTCCTTTCACAGCTTAATGTTGATTGGTTTCCAGCAACTGAAGCATCTCTTAAGCGCACTCTTATCCAGAAGTTAATTTTTGAACTCTTAGAAACTCATCATGAGGAGATTGCTTCAGCTGAATGCAATGATGAACTGCATTCTAGATTTCCAGAGAAGAATAGAACTGGTTTGGAATTTCTTTCAGATGGATGCACTCTGGAAATAGCTTGTAATGGGAATTTACCAAATTCTCAAGCGGGCCAAGGAATTGAAATGACACTGTTAGAAACATCATCTACGAGAAATTTGCATTGCAGTAATGATTCTGGTATGGTTCTTAGGGAGTTTTTTGAGCCAGGAGTTGCTTCACAGGCTTTGCTTGGACAGTTTCAATCTTTTGACCAGCCATCCTCTTATTATCGTCTGAATGGTGCTATATCACCAGGAGAGGTAGTAAATTCTCATCATTCTTGTGGGAATATTTTGTTTTATTTCCAGTCAGATAAATAAGAGATCATAAGTAAAAAGTTGAAGTTGAAAATGAATGGCTTGTAAAACCATTAGATGCAAGGTCCTGCACCCAAACCTGACATGCACACATTGTACTACCATTTCCACGTTGTATTTGATTTCAAAATTAGGATTGACTGCTACATCTTCACTTTCTAATTAAAAGATATCATTTTAATTACAGCAAGAAGATGTAGAAGGTGATGCGGAATTTGTGTTCTTGGATTCTGGGGAAAACAATTTTCACCAACTCACTGGAACTACAGCTCAAGCTTGTGAAGTCCCATACTCTTCCAGAGGTCTCATGATGGACACTTCATGGAACCTGGGAAATTCCATACAAGGAAAACATGATATTGACACATCCACTGAAACATCTCAGGCCTCTGAAGATGATGATGATGTTGGGATAATTGAACCAGGGGAAAAAATGCAACTAAATGAAAAAGACCACATGGATCAGCAAAGATCACCATCAGTGGAAAATGTTGTGTGCGATATGGAAGGCCTTGCTTCTGCCACTGATGAGTTGGTGGAGACTGGTGGCACTGAAGCTTCTGAGGATGCTGATAGGAAGCAACATGGCAATGAGAAGAATGGAAATGTTCTGCCGTCTGAAGAGAATCCAACCATGTTGCTGCAACAAGAACCCTGTATGGCGGTGAACCAGTTGGGTCCAGACTCTGAAATGGCTGTCTTGACTTCTTGTTGCACTGAAGCTTCTGAGGATGCTGATGTGATGCAAAATGGCAATGAAGAGGACAAAGACCTTCCATCCTCTGAAGAAAATCCAACTGTATTGCTGCAACAAGACCACAGTATGACAGTGAACCAGTTGGATCAAGACTCTGATTTGGTGGAAAACAAGGAAGCCATGTGTGATTTACAAATAATCAGAGATGGGCTGTTGGCCAAACCGGATGAGCAGAAACCCCCAGAAAGGATTGGGGTTAGTTCCCCTCATGAGGGAGAAGTGGAATCACAAAATCCTGATATGACAGGGAACCAATTGGATCAAGGCCCTGGGATGTTGGAACACAAGGAGGCCATGTGTGATTCAC